GAAAAAAAAACAAAACTATTAAGACTGCAGTAAATGTCTCTTTTCTCAAAGGCTTCCCTGCTTTGCTTTGCTTTCTCTAGCTTTTAAATAGAAGTTCAATTCATGTGTGCTACCGCCTGCATCTGACAGGATCTAACTCATTCCTACTACAGAAGTAAAAACAAGTAGAAAACCCTGCATGTGCAGGATAATTCTGTCATTAATAAAAGCAAAGGTAGAATTTAAACTAGGCACTTATTAACTGCCTGAAAAGAGAAACAGGATGATAGGAAGGTTTTCACCACTTGCTATCTTCCTTTCCGAGAAGTCCATGTTCTGAAAATTCCTGTAACTCTGCTGGATACAAGAGATCGAAGTCTGCTGTGATGTCTCTTATTGAGAGAAATCAAGTGTATTGAAGAGCTCACAAGCTCTGTTATGGATGAACTCTTACATTTCTTTAAAACAAAATGAAACACTACCCAGAATTTGCAACCAACAAAAGGAGAAAAAGGGAACCCATCCCAAGGGTATTCTGAGGTAACCGAAACATTTTAAAAAGGGTCATACTGTAGAAACCTGGATATGTAGCTAAACTGAGCCTGATTTTGCAAAGGAAATTAAAACCCTCAGTAAAAGACTATTAGCTGAAGAAATGGGAAGACAAGGAATGGAATGGGGATGTAGCGAGGACCTAGCTGAAATAAAAGTATCTAGGTATGACAGAAAACCAAAATGAATGTTTGCCTCAGTTTTCGGGGGGGACTAGGGGTGGAGATGATGTACAACATGGTGCAGAGAATGGCTGCTCAACAGTAATAAAGGCACAATCTGCAGAAGAAACACCGAAAGAGCCTAACACCATAAACTCTGAGAGAATCTATAGTCTCTATGCCAGAATTCTGAAAGAAACAGCACATGGAATACACACTCAGCAGAAAGGATTTTTAAGAAATGCATCAAGATGATGCACTGTATCGGATAAGAATTACAATCTCAATATATGTTTTCCACCTCTCAAAATTACGGAACGCAGGTTTCTCAATCACTGCTTCCATGAACAAAATAGTAGTAAAAAGCATTTTGAACAGAGCATACAAACATTTTGCTGCCTTTCTTCTCGCTGGAAAACTTGTAGCAGTTCACTCGTTTATCCTTCAATAAAAACAAAGAATTCCATGAAACTTGGTCAATTCTGTTCCACTGTTCTTGGTGTATTTCTGTTAGAATGACTTTATTACGTCTGCAGTTATCACTAGTTACTAGTCATTTGAAGTCGTTACCACTTTCCACTGTGTTTAATATCCCAATGGGATATTAGCTGTTACTTCAATCCAGCTGTCTCATACTCTTCAACAAACGATACTTTCATAGCTCCTTTTTGTTTTTAAAGAAGTTCTAGCATGTCTTAACATTATGCAACTTATAATATGTAGTCTCAAAAACTGTCAACCTGTTTCCTTTGACTCTTCAATGTATTTCACATGACAGAATTCTCTTTAATTCTATTCTCTACCCTGATCTATTTCCATAACAGCAATATTCTGATTAAAACACTACCCAGATAATGCCCAAATGTTCCTGTGCAAAATCAAGGTCCCAGAGCCTCTACAATTTAACAAAAATAAGATGCTTCAAGAGTCAAGAAAGGACTGAGGAATGTGGACACTAATAAGCACATGCAGCTATACACACTGGATCAAATATCTGACAATTTCAAATCAACAGCTTAAAAAAAACATCTTATGGGAAGCATCCTGCAGTTCCAGAGGCATTTCTAGTACTGCTCATCAGTGCAGCTCACCTTCCACTATTTAGTTGCTCTCGAGTGTTATTCAGATTATACCTGCAGGACTGAAATGAATGTTTTATGTATCTATGGTTAAGCTTGGACGTTGAAAAGCATATCTGATAATTTGCATTAACAATAGTATTTGGCAGCATTTTACAGTTAGGAACTCTATTTTTCAAAACATTCGCTCTGCGTAATTACATGCTTGAAATGCTTCCTGAGGAACTCATCTGGAGAGTTTCTGCTTTTACTCTGATGTTGAAAAATTGCCCCCTGTGAATCAGTGTCCTTGTTCATTTACACTTCTCAATTATATTCTGATCAACAATTTCTTTGCCTGCTTCACTTTTGCAAGCCCCTGTAATCAGCAACACATTGTTCTTTGGCAGAGTATCAGTAAGCCTCTGTAAGTTGGCCACAGAATACTTTTATTTCTTCACCTTCGCTGCTGTGGTAACAGCATACGTCTGAATAACCATCAGATTTACTAAAGATTCTTAGAGGCAGAGAGAAATGAAAATGGTATTGTCTGAAATGCATCTAATTAGGAATGCAAATACATCCTTACTCAAAAAATGAATGCCAGGGTTTCCTCATCACTCTCTGCGCTGGCAGTCAGTATCTCTAAGGGATGGCGGAACAGCCAATTATCATTTCACCAAACCTCAAAAAAACCCTCTCATGACAGCGTGTGAATAATGGTATTCATTAAGTAGAAAGCTCCACGTGCCCTTTTTTATGATTTTTTTTTTTTTTTTTTTAATCTCCTGAGCTTTTGTCAGGACTCTGCAATTGCTGGGCTGTTGAATACATTCAAATACAGTTGAATACTCTTCAAGCCAAATTGATTTCTAAGGCAAACACATACATTGCTTAGGTTAACAGGAGAGGTGGAGGCAGGCTCTTATCCCATTGGTCATAACTTCTTCAGTTCAGAGGAAGAGGAGGAGGAGTATCTGCTCTTTGCTACCCATAGCTTCAGGTACAGCCCACAAGGTAATTTCTGATACTCTGCTTTTTCTTGCCTTGTCAAATTGCACTTGCAAAGCAGCAGTGGGAGATGGCCCTGATAGAAATCTTTCTACTAATACTGTCCATTCAGGTGTTGTGCAATGACTTAACAGTTTTACAGACGCACTATGCCCTGGTACACATACACTGTACCCTTACTTTGAGTTATGCATATGTACAGTCTCTTCAGCTGAAAGTATTTTCCCCTCATGCTTCAAAAAGAAGTACAGGGGACATAATATCCTTTTCTTTTTTCAGTGACTGTCCACATACATACACACATCACAGAGGACTGTAAGAATGAACACTCAAGAGTTTCCTGCAGAGCAGCATCTGCGTCTTCACAGAGACTGACTGAAGCTTTGTTAAACTTCTCAGTGCCTTTCCCAAAATTGAAAAACTCCAGAAAGGAATAGTCAGTCATGATCATATGGTGTTCAAGCCTGAGATGACTGGACATACAAAAGACTTGGTCTCACTGAGGAACTGAAAGAAACAACTTCGTAGTATTAAAAAAACAGGAGTCCCTGAGTCACTAAGGAAATGCAGGATGAGCAATGTGGGCATTAAATGAAGCTCAATTGATCCAGAAAAAAAAAAAAAAAAAAAAAAAAAAAAGAGATGTCCTAACCAAAAGTCTTGGCCTGTATGTTCACTGAAACAGGAACTGATCAGAAGACCTAACAGAGGATCAGCCTCAGTCTGGTTTGTTTTGCCAGATAAATCCAACTCACATAAACTCCTCCTGTTATAGGTAAGATGTTGTATGTCTCAGGATCTCTCTTCAGTATATAAACAATTTCATAACTGACAATTGCAACAAGGCTGAGATATTTAAAAGATTTTGCACATTTGAATTCCTACTGAAATTTTTTAACTTATACGCTGCAATATGTTAAGATTCACTAATATTTTCCATATTAGAAGGGTTGGAAGGAACCTTTAAAAGCCATCTAGTCCAAACCGCCTACAATAAACAAGGACACTTTCCACTAGATTGGGTTGCTCAGAGCCCCATCCAACCCAACCTGGAATGTTTCCAGGGATGGGGCATCCACCACCTCTCTGGGCAACCTGGGACAGTGTTTCACCACTCTCATCATGACAAATTTCTTCCTTAGATCTAGTCTGAATCTACCCTCTTTTAGTTTAAAGCCATTACACCCCTCATCCTATCGCAACAAGCCCTCCCTACTAAAAAGTCTGTCCCCATCTTTCTTATAAGCCCCCTTGAAGTACTGAAAGGCCACCATAAGATCTCTCCAGAGCCTTCTCTTCTGCAGCCTGAACAGCCTCAACTCTCTCAGCCTGTCCTCATAGGAGAGGTGCTCCAGCCCTCTGGTCATATTTGTGGCCCTCCTCTGGACTCGTTTCAACAGGTCCATGTCCTTCTTGTTTCTTATGTTGGGGGCTCCAGAGGTGGAGGCAGTACACCAGGTTGGGTCTCACCAGAGCGAAGAAGAGGGGCAGACCTACTGGGCACAGTCGCCTGAAAAATGTTTTCATATTTAAAAGAAAAGAGGAATCTATTTCTTACTTTCTTCTCAACTAAAAACATAGTGCAGATGTATCTACATTTTTAACCATGTTTAATGCTATTTAAAAACAAAATTGCTGAACATACACATACTACAGCTCAGTTATATCATTTGAAATGCGATTTGTGGACTGAAGAAATTTGGGGGAAATTCTGCATCTGATAAAATTCTGTTTCAAATTCTAGAAACATGCTGTTCTGAAGCATTTTCTTAAACTTCAGGAAGAACACGAGGATAAGTACATTGTTTGTGATTATGTAAGACTGACAGAAATCAGACTGTTAAGTCTTCTGGTGTGAAGCTGACAAAACTTCAACAAGGTATTATCAGGATCACCTGAATATACTTTCCATTCCTACATACCACTAAATAAGGTTAAGGTTGAAGAGCTACAAGCAGATTTGGGGTTCTAGGCACAAGTCCATAATTAATGAAGTCAATACAGATCTTTATCAACCAAACATAAATAAATATTTTTACGCAACATTCTGATCTGGTTCTAGCCTTCTTGAGTTATAATCATGTGTATTTCATTGTAATCCCAATTTGCCAGATCAGTTCAATCTGGATATGAGTTTAGGAGCATTGTTCGTATACACAGTTCTACATTCTCAGGAGAATGCCCTCATGTATTGAACTATCACAGAAATGAACATTAAATGAACACATAAAAAACTTACCCGAATCATCATGACTGAGCATCTGATGTTATGAATTGTATCATATACCTTCTTAGAAATGTCTACAAACTGGTTATCGTCAAACAGATGCACTGTGTTCTTGCTTAAGCTCTCCAATGCAGTACTTACTTGACTAATAAACTCTGGAATCACTATTTAAAAAAGAAAACACAAACAAAATTCAGTGAGCATAGAAAGCATAAAATACGCACTTTTTCTTTCTGGCAAATTGCTTCACATTGATTAAAACCTTATTTTAAAAAAGCATTATAGTAATAACATGATTAGTTTTAAGTGGGAACACATTTGTAGTTTTTATCACAGTGATAATAATGCACTTGGTGGGCCCGTAAGTTGTGGATGATTATACAATACAACAAAGAAGAAGAAAGTTTTAAAAGTGGGGTTGGGGAAGCAGTTGCCAGTGATTTCAGTAGTAATTTTACTCGAAGACTCATGATGAAGTTGGAACCACTATTAAACAGACTCCTACTATTTCAGAATCTGCTTTCAGTCTGAATGGAGACAAAACTACCAAAACATCAATGCTTATTCTCCAAATTAAGAAGTCCCACAATTGTAACCTGGACTTACCAAGGCAGTTTACCTCATCTGATTGAATCAAACAAATTCTAAATTTTGATTCAGTTTGATATTAACCTGTCCTGTACCCAGAATGTCCTGGGAGTTTTCTTTTGGTGCTCCATGGCCTTATTTTGCATAGTGACCTGGTACCACTATATGTCCCTTGATCATTCACATCAATTAGAAGCAAAGGAAACCCAACACACAGAATACAGAATGAAGAGAGAATGCAGCTGGAAAATCCATCACGCACAAAAGGACCTCAAACAAGTACAGATCAAACTCATTTGCAACAACTCATTTCCTATCACTTGGAGACTGATGACACAGAATAAATGGAAAGTAAAGGGATCGAACTCAACTCCTGTAATATTCAATATGAATAACATAAACCTTGGGGAACAGAAGCTTTTTTCAGGCAATGTGTTGGTTTCAAGTATAACATGCTTTCCACCCCGTCCTCCACAATTGCACACTGTAATTCATAAATTCGTATCACACGAAAGCAACACTACCAATACCTTAAGTATGAATCACGTCAGGCAAATTTTGACATACGTAAGACATTTTTACGTAGACAAAGCTTCAGCTGAAGTCAACAGGACTTCTGAATTAGAAAATGTGGCCACATATACTTCAAATATTACGAAAGATGCCACAATAATGCTTTAACCCCTAACTTTATCTGGAGAAACCCGCACAACCCTTGGAGACATTTAAATTCACTCTTAAACTACAGTAACTTCACTGTCTTCAAGCTCAGCTGTTTCTCTCTACAGTGCAGAACAGTTACTTCATCGGTTAGTTCTCAGAAACAAGAAACTTAATTCAATTAATTCAGTGATAGTGGGAAGGTTCATTTTCTTCTGTAAAATAGGTCTCCACAAGTGTGAAACAAGGGGATGCCATTTAATTTGAAAAATAGGATATTTAAAATCCTTTCTTCCTTCTTCAGATTATCACTTGAATTACCTTGCCTTCTGAAAAGGTCAGTGGGAAGAACAGCTTTCTTAAATGGTATAGAAAAAAGACAAGTTACATTTTTCATTAGCAACCAAATGGAATAATTAGGGAGGGCCTATCTATTTAGGGCTTACTGAAATTGTGGTTTGTTTTTTTTTTTAAAGAAACACAAATACACAATTTCAGAACATGAAGTCTTTTTTTTCTGTTAAACAAAGATCTTGGCCCCTAGTCTTGTCAAAATAATTGCAAGTGTGGCCATTTTGAAGTAAACAGTAGCCTCATATTTTTACATAAAATTAGAACTTTCAGCTCTTCACATACATTGTAAAAATGCTGCAAAGGAGAATTTAAGAATTTTCCAGGAATTCAAGATTTTCATTGGTATAGTCAAATTCAGAGCCTCCTACACCCTCACTTCTCAGTTCATTGTGTTTCATAGACTCTCACTTGCAGTATGGCAAAGCACAGACTCCCTGCTCACCAGCGGCATTTTCAGTGGCTGCTAACTGCCCACAGGCCTCATCTTCTATAGCACAGGGTATTTCTTCTCAGTTATCTGTTCAGGCTCCATCCTGCACTCCATCCTCATTCCATATGCTTATCAATGGCCTTTTTATAGCTCCTTCTGAGGCCAAACTCATTATCACAGTATATTTGTTCATCAGAATGATTACATCGCTTATGAAAAAGGATTTTACACAAATACATATTCTATAGCTCATATGCTACTGGTGGAGTCACTGCTAAACCACAGGCTGCACTTGATTATAGAAAGAGGATCTCAGTGGCTTCCCTTTGATAACATTTTTGAGGTGGTTGTTTTTCATCAGCATTTTTACACACAGACACTTAAAACACAAGACTAAACTGTAATTCTAAACTAACTGTATAACCCGCTAATGAAGTACAAAAATACACATGGGCGACTATAAGGTTAACAAATAGTTCTTATTATTTGGTCATTCAGCCTGTAGCTGATTGGATAACTCCCCTCAAATCCAAGACTCCTTTCTTGACTGCATGTGATTTATTTAATTTTTGAGTTCCCAATCAAATCATTACTTTAAAAGAGGTTCTTGAGGATTTATCAGTTCTTATTCATGGATCACTGGCATCAAAAATATTTCACTTCACACACCCTCAAATGGTTCACCCATTGTTCTGAAACAGTGCATTAAGTGGACCAGAATTACATTAAAAACATGCATCTTTCCTGTACTCTGCTTTATTCTTCTATGCAGCTTAAATATAGACAAGTGGATGCAGGTAAAAACAGGTTAGACAAGGTTTTTTTCAATCTTTCAAAAGCAAAGAAAAAATAATCAAGTTCCAAGTAAAATGAAAAATTTCAACTATTATACAACAGAGAAGTATTATGAGATTATTACTTTAATATTAAAACACTTCTGAAGAAAACTTACAATTTCTATTTGAATTTTTTCTTTTTTTTTTCTTCTATGAAAATTATGAGTAAACGTCTACATGAACATCTGTAATCCTACCTTTCCTGAGGGGGAAGGTGTGGAAAGGAGGATGGTTTGGAAAATACCAATACTGCTCATAATTGTTGTGTTGAAAAGTCCCTAGACTAGTTCACAGGTTTCACACCATCAAAACACATTCTGCACTCTTCTTAAAATTAAGCTTATTTATTTTACCTTGTTTTAAATGAACAATACTATTTGTCTTTTCTTGTAGGCCATGTCTTCTTAGACCTCTAATAATTTTTGCCTGACTTTGTCATATTCAACCAAAACCGACTAATGAATCCTGTTTGCGGTTTAATAGCTGTCATGGCCCAGCTCTTAATTCAGAGACTACAACATCTGCATGTCACAATCACATTAGGTAATACAGAAAAGGAAACTTCACTAATCGCTTCATTCTAATTAGCAACTCTGTGCCTGTTATTTTGAATAACAAAATCATCAGGACAACAGGTTTTCCACTTTGCAGAAGGCCAGTGAGAACAAGTGAAAACAGGAGCCATTCTGCTTGCATGTTTTAATGAAGTTATGTTAAGTGATAAACGTCAGTTCATCAGCAATCAAAATAGCTTGATATTGAAAAAGCAACAGTCTCCACAGCTAAAACGTCCACACGTATGCAACAGTCACCTAAAGAATGCCTTAACAAAATGAATAACAGATATGACCTCCTAGAACTGATCGAAAAAAATTTCCTCATGAAAATAATCAAATCCTCGTCAGTTTCTGTTGATGACTTAGGATTCTAACAGGAGGAAAAAGCCCCATGAGAACTTCCAAAAGCCTACCAGAAGACAGATTCCAAGGAAGTAAGCAAAAGCCAAAAGCATGGTCATGTAAGGCCTAAAAATATGCTAAATGAACCTAATATGAAACTAGTAAGATCACACATCACAAAAATAAACCCGATTTGCAGGCAGGCAAGTTAGAAGAGATGAGTGCACCCTAGACCTGTGCCAAGCCACATGTTTCAACCCCTAAGCCTAATACCTTCTTTCAGCACACTATGTCTTTCTACTAATTAGCCTCCAAGCAGGAAAGAACAGCCCCACTAAAACCATGAAAACCATCCACCATTTAGGCAGTAAGACGGCAAAAAGCAGAGGCTCAGGTCTTGATAATGATCTCAGTTTGTTGCAAGACGACCTGAAATCACAGGAAGAGCTACAGGTCTGTCTACCCAAAACTGTCTGGGTAATGCTGTAGCTCAAGGTATCAAAAAAGCACTGTCTTTTGTCATCCAGAAGATAACTCTTGACAAAGAAAAACTTGACGCTAGTTAACACATTACCATTCCTAACCACAGGGCTAAGAGTGCACCTGACAACAATCCCTCAAAGAGACTTCTTTCAGAGAAGAAAAAAGAAAAAAAAAAAAAAAGGTGTCATTTGTTGATACTGAAGATTAAGAAACTGATCTCAGGGTACCCACAAATCCTGCAAAACAGTCTTCAGAACATCACTGTGTATCTCCCCATTTCTGTACATGAGCCTGAAGGAACTTAGGTTGCCGACAAGACCAGCAGGGCTCCTCAGAGCTAACCCAGAAATATGTGAATCCAAAGCTCTCAATCCAGGGAGAGAAAATGCTAGCCTCATGCATAAGCAATCTTTAGGAGCAGTATTTTTATGAAGAACTTCAGTGCTGCAGAGAAACCAGAATCCTACTGTTGGTGCTTCCAGAGAGATTTTAAACCAAAGAAGCTTCCAGAGTTACTCTAGAATAACATTTAAAGGTGAATTTAGTTGCCAAAGCTCTAAGAGGAAGGTGTGATCATAAGCAACATGAAAGGTATTGAGGCTTTCACTGCTGGCTAGACCAAACAACCTGAACAAGATGACTCTAAGCCTTCTAAAGATGAAGAGTAGATAGATGAAGAACTACTTTATTTAATCATAAAATTAGATGGAGATTGATTGTCTTGTAACATAAGACAGAATTCTGTGACATAGCAAAACTAAAAAAGCACTAAAGGCTGTCTGACTTAACAGCCTGCAGGGCGCTTAAAAGATGGTGAAGCCATGAAAAGAGGTTAATATGTCATAGCCAGGGTCTTCTAAGAATAGAAGCATAGCTATGGTATATGAAGGCCAACTCACGAGATCTAAGTCCGC